TGGCTAGAGGAGTGATTAATATATATGAGACCGAGTAATACCCCCTTCTAGATGATATTGGCTGTAATCCTAAGCCTAGACAGCAAATTGCTTTTAAGCTGAATTGCTAAAGAATTCAAGTTGATTTGATAAGGAAACCAAGTGAATATAAGGAAGATGTTATTGACAGTCAGCACTCGATAAAGGAAACTGAATCTACAGTCTTGACTGCGCAGACTTTTACTGCTCGCACACTTGTCGCCGCTTTGTCAGACTAGATTAGGAATGACCATCGTTAATATGTATGTATGTATATGAAGAATTTTATGAATGGGCCGCTTATCTTTATAGCCTACCATCATAACTATAGCCATCAAATCATATATACTGTCGATTCGATTGTAATGGCAAAATGTCATTCTACGTCAAAAGAGAACTCCAAACTATCTTGTTGTCAGCTACTAATCGTATAACGATATTTATGTATATGTTCCATTTAAGGACTGCCCTATGGCATGCCATGATATATCAAGTGTGAACTATCTGTCATGTAATGGACACTGTAAACATAGAAAGACGAAAGACGAAGAACGGTACGAGACTCATAAACAATGGTCCAATGACAAGAGAATGACAGTGGCTTCGATAAAGCAAAGCCCGTTCGTATACAATATGCGAACAGTAGACGTTGAGTGGGAGGGGGAGTGGAGGAGTGAAGGAGAATGGGGTATACAATCACGTTTCCCAGTAAGTCGGAATCAAAGTAAACACACGAAACGATCTTGTCGAAGAGGGGCAAAGCAACTATATCAGCGACTCATAATATAGTACATACACATATATATATAGCATATATAGAGGTCGCATCTCTTGTAAACAAGTTGAGTAGTAGGTCGAACGATAAAAAATATAAAATTAAGAGCACTGAAGGAAAATTCAGCAACTCGCAAAGTAATTGACTGACTGATTGAGTGACTCGAGTGATTGATTGAATGAGTGTGCGTGTGCGCGAGTGTATGAATATGTTGCCTACGGGTCGATCGATTATGGCCGAGTTAAAAGGGTGCTTAACTTTATTGGCCATCATATAATCGTATATAACGTATACGCAGGGTCTGCTCGTGGCTATCTTTGTCTTCTATCTAGACAAGAGTTTCGTTTTTTATCTGCAAGCGCACACAAACACTCTTGCTTTCGGTGGGGACAGTGCCAGTCTTTTGAGTGTCGAATCAGGCAAATAAACGTCCAAAGTATTCGGTAATAAATTGTCGAAATTGGAAGAATAATTCGAGCATTGTAAATTCATAAATATATCAGGTGCCTAAAGGTGCCGAGGTGCCGAGGCTGCTATGCCCGTCCATATGATGAAGCAACAATCTCATAAAACCGTCTCGATTCCATATTCTACTTAAAATAGCTGCACACTATTGTCGTTATTATAGTGTGTGCCTAACCCACTTCCCGTGAGAGATATACTAAAAAAATAAAATTGGAAAAAAATTAAATAAAATAATAATAATGATCAAGTAGGTTTCATAAATTTTTTTGGAAATTACCAGCGAAGCGCAA